ATGGGGACTAGAACCCGGTGTGCCGGTGCCGCAAGGCGGAGGATTAGCCTAGTGAGCTGCGGCGCCGACAGGGATTGCTTTTTTTTAAAATAGAAAATATTTATTTATTTGAGAGCAGAATTACAGAGAGAGACAAAAAGAGAGATCTTCCACCCATTGGTTCACTCCCAGCATGGCCACAATGGCCAGAGTTGGGTCAATCTGAAGCAGGAGCCAGGAGCTTCATCTGGGTCTCCCATGTAGATACAAGGGCCCCAAGCACTTGGGCCACCTTCTGCTGCTTTCCCAGGCCATTAGTAGGGAGCTGGGTCAGAAGTGGGGCAGCCGGGACTAGAACCAGCGCCCACAGGGGACGCTGGCTCCTGGGAGGTGGCTCTACCGCTCCACCGCGGCACTGGCTGCGATTCCTTCTGTACTTTCTCAGTGAGTTTGTTAGTGATGTATGAAAACGCTCGTGACTGTGTGTTGATTTTGTATCCTGCAACTTTGCTGAGCTTGTTTGCCAGTGCTAGTAGTCTCTGGATGGAGCCCTTGGGCCTCTCTCTGTAGAACGCTGTCATCTGAAGACAGGGATGGTTGGGTGTCCCCCCGCCCAGATTTCACGTCTTTTGCTGCTTTCTCTGCCCATGGCTCTGGCTACACTGTTTCCTAGTAACAGTGGAGAGGGTGGGTGCCCTTGTCTCACCTGGGTCTTAGAGGAAACGTTTCCAGCTTTTCCCCTTTCGCTGTGATGTTTACTCTGGGCTCAAAGTGTACGGCCCCTCCTACCTGAGGGGTGTTTCTTTTGTACGTCCTTTGTTCAAAGCCCCTGTCTCTAGCCGGTGTGCTTTTCTGTACCTCTCCTTGTTCTCTCCTTTTAGAAGTACTTCAGTCATCAGATATGGAGCCCACCCTAGAGCCAGGACGACTTCGTGTCGAGATCCGTAAATCAACCGCATCTGCAAAACCGCTGTTCCCGACTAAGGTCACATCCACAGACGTCGGGGTTAGGGCTTGACTGTGTCTGCCTTCGAGGCGTTCAAGTCCACTGCGACGTCCGGGGTGTCCACACTCCATGCTTCCTCTAGGCTCTTCCCACCCTGGACATCGCATGGAGTGTGGACACCCAGTGGGCGGAGAAGCCGACGGTGACCCAGTGTCACCCAGTGTTGCTCCAGAACCACACAGCCAAGGCTTCAGTGGCACCTGCCTCGTGCCAGACCCCGAGCTCAGGGGTCCTCAAGAGTGGCCTGTCTGGATTCTCACAGCCCCCGGAGATCTGGGGCTGTTATATTTTCATTTTACAAGTGAGCAAATGTGCCTGAGAGGGGTTACCTCGCTCCAGCCTCAGGGTGGAGTCCGGGCTTGCATCCAGACAGCGCATTGCAGGTGCTCCCGCGAGCTGCCTCTGTGGCTTTGCGGCCCCGTTGCTGCATCTGGGAGTCGTTTGTCCCCCAAGGGCTCGTGTGTGGGGAGCTCGGGCCCCAGACTGGAGGTGTGAAGTGGCGGTGGGACCTTGAAGATGTGGGGCCTAACGCAAGGTGACCAGGTGATGGCGGGAGGGGCATCGCTCTCAGAAGAATAAGTAGCTCTGGGGAACTTAGGTCCTGTGAGAGTGGCTTGTTACAGAAGAGCAAGACCAGCAGGTCTTGCCCTGCCCTGTGCCCCTGCCGTGGCCTCTGCTGTGTGACACAGCCAGAGCTGAACAGAGGCCAGCACTCTGGCCCTGAACATCAAAACCGTGAGATCTGTAAGCCAGTACCGAGCTTCAGGTGTCGTGTCACAGAGATGGAGAAGAGACACCCACAGCTGTCCAGGGTGCCACTGACTTCCTGCAGGTGCCCATTTAGGTTCAAAGCAACTAAAATTGAGTAAGTTTAAAACCCAGCACCGGCAGTGCAATTGTGCCGAGAGGCTGCGGCGGGCGTGGCACAGAGAGGAAACACTGCTAGCATCAGCCCTGAAGTTCTGTGGACCAGTGTTCCCGTCCACTCTATAATCACACCCACATTAAGTGCAATAGCAATGAACCAGGAGTCTCTATTAACCAGACTTGCTTTCTCTGCCAAAAAATTCTGGGGAGAAAGACATCAGTGAGAGGCAGATGAGTGGATGGGGCCATTTAGTAACTGCAGCCACATTCCAGCAATGTCCTGGAGCGGCCAGGCGTGGCCCACCTCTGGGGCTGTGAGGGAAGCAGGACTCCCAGGCAAGGGTGAGTTATTTCAGGGCCAGAGCTATGGCGTAGTGGGTAAAACCACTGCCTGCGGTGCCAGCTTCCCATCTGGGCTGTGGTTCAAGTCCTGGCTGCTCCACTTCCGACCCAGCTCTCTGCTATGGCCTGGGAAAGCAGTGGAGGATGGTCCAGGTCCTTGGGAGCCCTGCACCCTTGTGGGAGATCTGGAAGAAGCTCCTGGCTTTGGCCTGGCCCACCATTTGGGGAGCAAAGATCTCTCTCCTGTCTACCCACCATCTCTCCTTCTCTTGCTGTAACTCCTTCAAATAAATAAATAAATTAAAAAAAAAAAAAGCCTCAGAAGTGTTAAAGCCACAGTAAGCACCTTTATGCCTACCTTGGAGCAGACAAGCATCGCAAACACCATGCTCTCTCTGACATATGGGGAAACTGAGGCAGGGTGCCCTCAAGGCCCAGAACTCACCTGTGGGCCGCGGCCCTGAGTCAGGGGGCGCCCAGGGCCCGCTGGGCTGCCGAGTGCTCTCTGCGGCTCCCAGTGAGAGCACTGGGTGGCGGTGGCTGATGCTTTTCAGTGCACGTCGCTGTCCAAGCTAAACAGCGGGGGCAGGCAGCCCTGTCTTAAGGGAGAGACAGTCTGTGGCCTGCCTCTCCTGGGAGGGTGTCTTGGGTCTGGTTTCTGTCGCTTTGCGCCATATATATATTTACAAATGAAATGGAGGTTTTCTTTGGCGCACGGTTCTGGAGGCTGGCAGTCTAAGACAGAGCCACACCTGGGGGCGGGAGGCTTGAGCCGCACTGCGGAGTGGCGGGTGAGCGGCAGGGCAGGCGAGCGTGCAAAAGAAGCAACGCACAGCCGGCTGGGCCTGCTTTATGGCACCCCCCCCCCGCTGAGAGGGCGCACCTGCTCCCGTGAGCTTGGCGTGCACCCCCCTTTGGAATCTAAGCGCCCTTCAAGGCCCCACTGCCCCACACTGTTGCCATGGCGATCACAGTGCTGTGTGAGTTCTGCAGGGGACGAGGCGTCTTCAAGCCAGAGTGGGAGGGCTGGGGACCCCGGGGTGGGGGCCCTCCTCCTCCGCCCCTCCTCCTCTCCTGGAGAGGGAAGCGGCAGGGCCTCCAGGTCGAGTTGCCCCATTTTCCTGAGAACATCAGAGGCCACCCAGCAGGGCCCTGGCTCCTCCGACCAGGCGTGGCGGAGACCCCCGGAGGCTGCGTCGGGGCGTGTGGATGCCTGGGAGTGCTCCCCTCCTCCAGGTGAGCCCAGGAAAGTTTCTGGGGGAGGAGTGGTTGCAGGGGACAGGCGTGGGATTGCCCACAGTGTGGGTGGAGCCAGGGCAGATGAGGCAGGCGCTCTGACACACCCCCTCCCCCCAGATCAGCGGGACCACATCACAGACAGAGCCGGGGGTGGGCTGGGGAGGTGCTGTCTCCAGCTTGCAGGGGCCTGAGGCATGTGGCCGCGGTCCCCCACGGGGCACCTTGCATCGCTGAGACCCCAGACAAGGCGCCCTGTTGTGCCCTTGCTTGGACAGGCCCTGAGTGTCCTGTCCCATCTGTATCCCACACTCACTGCGGCTCTCTGTGCCAGGAGGCACCCATGTCCCACAGGCCGCCGTGGGCTGGGCTGTGTCACCCGATAAGAGAAGTTTCCATGACAGGTGTACGTCCTGCACTTGAATACTGACTTAAGCATGGACTTAAGCAGCAGCAGAAACGAACGTGGCTTTGATTCTAGATTCTTCTTTTTTTCCCCTGTCTAGTTTTAGCAATTTAGGGATCTGTGAATGCTCACGGGGTTTGCTGGGGCAGGGCGGTGGGGGGAGCAGGCGCTCTTCTCCTTTTCAGGAGGTAGAAGGTTCTTCTTTATCGTGGCTGGTTGCCACATTTAGGGACATGTGGCCACAATGAGCTGAAGGAATGTGGCGTGCGGGAACACACAGAGAAGAATGAAGAGTAGCTTGGCAAGAGAATTATCCAAGGCCGCTCGGCGGTGGCTCCCAGGGCTGGGCAGATGGGCTGGGTGGGGGGATGGCCTTGGTGGAAGCCAACTTCTGGTTGTGAAATGCAGTCAAAAAGACACTCTTGCTGTCATGTTGCTTCCACTGATTTCAAGAGCTTGTAAACTTGCTCACTCAGCGTGCTGGAGGCTGTGGGGTCAGCCTGGCTCGCTGTGGTCTTTGTCTTTTTTGCACGGAACTGTGCCATCCATTGCGCTATGGGCTTGCCTAGGTCCTTCTTCCTGGTCTACTTGGGTGCTGGTGCAGGTGCAGTTGTCGGTAGCTGGGGTGCTTCCATCACTACAAGAGATCAATGGAGCAGTGGGGCTGGGGGTCCCGGGAGTCCCCTGAGCACCACGACCCTCAGAGGGAAGGCCCACTGGGTGAATGACCATGTTGCTTGCAGAAGTCAAGGCTAATTCTCACATGCCAGAGTCCCTGGTTCAGCTGAGGAACCTTCAAGAATGCACTTCCCTGGCCCATCCCGGGGAGCCTGGCTTGGTAGGTTGGGAACCTGCTTTCAGATGGACGTCCTCAGGTGACCCTCAGGCTGGACCTGGTGAGCGTCCAGGAGCAACGTCCCCCACGGGAAGGTACCCACAGGGCACACAAGATGGCCACCGAGATTCTGACACCAAAAGTCAGCATTTCAATTGTCGTACAAAACGGGGTCTGTTCTGAATAATGCATTGTCTTCTGCCTGGAGGTAGGTTAAAGGCCAAGAGAATGCAACGGCCTGAAAACCACACACAGGCTGTGCAGCTCACAGCCACCGCAGGCTCCGTGGGAGCACAGCTGGACGGCGGATCTGCAAGACTTCCTCTCGCCTCGCTCACCAGGCCACTGTGGGAGGAGCGCGCCAGCTGCCCCACGCAGGTGAGCAAGGTCAACGGGCCGGGCCCCACCTGCCCTCCCGGGGCCTCTCGGGGCCTCTCCCTGGGCCTGCCTCGCCATATCTTGAAACGTTGTTTGCTCTGCTGTCCGGTCTGGGTTTCCCACCTCCTTCTCCACCGAGGTGTCCGTGTCTCGTAGAGGAGAGCACTCGACATTTCATTCCACTCTTGCTCTCGGAATGGGGGCTTTCTGATTCACGACGGTGCGTCCCTGCCAAAGCCCAGGTTCCCAGTGCTTCATTTCATGGATTGTGTGTGTGTGTGTGTTTCCTTTTTTGTCTCTGTGTCATTTATCTGTGCACTGAGTTTTATTGTTTCTGTCCTTCTATCAATTTAAAATATCCTTATTTAATAGGAGTATGGCTACTCCTGCTTTTTTGGGGTTCCATTTGCAAGGAATGTCTTGTTCTTTCAGTCTAAGTGTGTTCTCAGAAGTAAAGTGAGTCTGTGATCATCAAATAGCTGAATCCTATTTTTTAAACACAGTCAATCACTCTTGCATCTGCTAATTTGATAATTTATTCCACTGGCATTTAAGGTAATTATTGATAGGTAAGACCTTACTATAGCCATTCTGATACTTGTTTTGTATTTTTATTGTGGTTCCGCTCTTTCTCTTACCATCTTCATTTGTGCGTAAGGATTTTCTCCTACGATGTACCTGAATTCCTTTCTTGTTTCTGGTCCGTCTGTTACAGGTTTTGCTCTGTGGATGCTATGAGGCTAACAGAAAAACAAGCTATCTTGAAATGATAACAACTTTTAAAAAAAGATTTATTTATTTGAAAGGCAGAGTTACAGAGAGACAGAGGAGAGAGAGAGAGAGAGAGAGAGAGGTCCTCCATCTGCTGGTTCACTCCCCGTATGGCGGCACCGGCAGGGGCTGGGCCAGGCCGAAGCCAGGAACCAGGAGCTGGGAGCTCCATCTGGATCTCCCACGTGGATGCAGGGGCCAAGTGCTTGGACCATCCTCCACTGCTTTCCCAGGTGCATTAGCAGGGAACTGGATTGGAAATGGAGCAGCTGGGACTCAAACTGGTGTCCATACAGGATGCCAGCATTGCAGACGGCGGCTTAACCCATTACACCACACGGCCAGCCTGCAATGGTAACAGCTTAACATGGACTGTAAAGACAGGGAAAGAGACAAACAGAAAGCCAAGTGATAAAACGTCCCGATGAGGACCTCCGCACGTGCGCTCCGTTCCTCCCACGACTTCAATGTCTCCACTTTTCAGTCGAAGAACTTCTGCTTGACCTTGTTTAATTATTGCCATCTACCAGATCTCTGTAAGAACACTGAATTCTTTGCGTTCTCTTGAATTTCACAGAGTTCCCTTAAAACAGCTGCTGTGGAATCTTCGTCGGAGCACTTGGAAATTTCGATTCCGAGCTGCGCGATGTCTGGCACCTTATTTGCCCTTTAGCGGGGCCGCGTTTCCTGGGAAGTTCTCGGTGCTTGTTGGAGTATGACGCCAGAGCGCACGGCAGGATTGGTTTCAATAACCTGGCTTCGGCCGGCGCCGCGGCTCACTAGGCTAATCCTCCACCTGCGGCACCAGCACACCGGGTTCTAGTCCCGGTCGGGGCGCCGATTCTGTCCCGGTTGCCCCTCTTCCAGGCCAGTTCTCTGCTGTGGCCCGGGAGTGCAGTGGAGGATGGCCCAGGTCCTTGGGCCCTGCACCCCATGGGAGACCAGGAGAAGCACCTGGCTCCTGCCATCGGATCAGCGCGGTGCGCCAGCCACAGCGGCCATTGGGGGGGTGAACCAACGGTAAAGGAAGACCTTTCTCTCTGTCTCTCTCTCTCTCTCACTGTCCACTCTGCCTGTCAAATAAAATAAAATAAAATAAAATAAAATAAAATAAAAATAGCCTGGCTTCATCTGCCACTGTTCTAGAACCCCTGAGCAGCCTGTTCATTTCCCCTGAGCCTCGGGTACTTCTGCTGCTTCAGCAGTGGGCAGAGCCCTCTGTCAGGATTTGCCCCAGGTTCTCTGTTGGTGCATTCTTACTGATTCAGCCATACAATACTCCCCAAGTCCAAGTTTGTCTCAAACCTGCAGCTGACGTGTTGTTCAGGACGAACTGGGAAGAGCCTAAAGAGGGGTGGTCCTGCCCTACAAGCCTCTTCGTGGGCCCGTGGTGGGCTCAGACTCTTTCTCTGTGCCCTCGGATGTCACAGTCACATCTGGGCCACATCTGGATCTCACAGCCCACCAAGACCAGGGCAGCCTCGCAGTCGGATCAATGCTCAGCCTGCTACAGTCTGCCGGCTGCTGACACGGGCTCGCTGCCCAACGCTGCACCTCTCAGCCGCTCCTGATGCTGGCTGGGGGATCAGACTGCCCAGCCTGGACCGTGCAACATCCCTGGGCACTGAAGCAGGCCAGACGCTCCGTCTGCAGACACTCGTCTTGGGACAGGGACTGTCAGGGTCTACTCAGTGCCGGGTTTTATCAGCCTGCCACTGAATCGCAAGACAGTTGTGTCATTTCTTGCTCTCTGTCCAAAGTTGTAAGAAGGGTGTTAGAGGTGGGCCCTGGGCAGGTCACACGCAGGTCTCACTGTCACCAGGACCCGTGCAATTTTGGGAGTACACACTAGTCTTGCTGGCGATGCATGCCAAAGCAAGTCTGTCTCACCAGGGTGCAGACACTTCCCTAGTGATGGAAACCATTGGGATCTGTCCAGCACTGGACACAGAGTCCTGTGGCCCCTTGCTGTCTGCCTGAGGTTGGAGGAGAGTGACAAAGGAGCTCCCTGGCCACCCAGGCCAGCCCCGGGTTGGCCACACCCACCTGGGGCCCCTGATCCCTGGGAAGCAGCAGGAGTGTTTGCCAAGCCCACCCAAGGCTGGTAGTGGCCCATGTCAAAATGAGTTTGTTCTACCAGAGCACGGGTCTCTGCCGGGTGTTGGGAGCCCCATACCACACACAGAGCACTTGGGCTCTGCTGGGTCTCGGTGTGATAGGCCCTGACTGGGATCTGCAGCGCCCTCTCCTACCCCTCTGCAGGGCCAGAGGGAGGCTTGCTTCCTGCCCCTGGTTGTGGGAGCGGTGGCGGAGGCTCTAAATTCTGCACAGGGACCCGCCTGGGGGGCTCATTCCTGGTGCGTTTTTCTGCCCTGGGTGTGGAGCAGGGGTCCCGTTGGCATCTCCTCGCCCCAGAAGACGTGCCTCATTGCATCTGTCTGTGCCACTGCCCTTGGAGCTGCGACAGGGCTGACACGGGCAACTCTTTCCTGCCGCTGTCTCCAATGTGACTTTCTTGGGAGTGTAACACAGCAAGGCACCATGGCGTCTCTCCTGGCTGCCATAGCTCTCTTGAAGGCGACTGGGTGGTGTCTCTGGGGGGCGGTGGCTCCAGAGCCTCTGTGGCTTCTGCATCCCCACCAGCCCCCTTTGCCCTGCCGATTCTGACTCCCACGCTGAGCCCCAGTTGGCCTTCACCTCCTGGTGGCTTTGTCCTGGGCCCACCGTCTCCAGCATCCAGGCCGCCTCCAGTCTAGCTTTGCTAACTCTTGAGACAAACAGAGTCAGGGCTGGGTGTGATCTCTCAGTCACAAGGCGGAAGCCAATGGCTTTGGCTTAAGGTCACCCCCAGCCGTGGAATGCGATGCCCGGTGGGGATTAGGAAGGGGTCCAGCTCCCTGGTGACTCCCACGCACTGGGGAGGCAGAGTCAAGATGGCCAAGGCTGACCTTGCTCTCTCCTCTCCCTGCTGGCGTGGGTGCATGGCCAGCCAGCCCGGGAAGCTCTCCTGCCCGCCCTGACCCAGGGCACCGTAACCTTCGTCAGCTGAGAGTGAGCTCTTGTAGAGGGTTGCCTGCATCCCGCCAGCTTTTCAGACACCTGTACGTGCACAGTCCCACCCACGCATACAAGTCTGGCCAAGGCGCCGCCACCTCCCTAAAACTTACCCAACCGACCTTTTGAACTCCTGCTTTGCCATTGGCACGGGCACCTTCTTCTGGATTTAGGTTGCCATGGTTATTCTGCTATTTCACTCTTAGAAAGGAATTGTACCGACTCCCTCATCTCCCCTGAGGTCTCAGTCCAAGTCCTTCTGTGCCCAATCCAGGCTTTGTCCAGACACCACAATGCTACTTTGAAAAAGTAATAATTACATAGTTCCTTTTTTTTTTGACAGGCAGAGTGGACAGTGAGAGAGAGAGACAGAGAGAAAGGTCTTCCTTTGCTGTTGGTTCACCCTCCAATGGCCGCCACGGCTGGCGCGCTGTGGCCAGCGCACTGCGCTGATCCGATGGCAGGAGCCAGGTGCTTCTTCTGGTCTCCCATGGGGTGCAGGGCCCAAGGACCTGGGCCATCCTCCACTGCCTTCCCAGGCCACAGCAGAGAGCTGTCCTGGAAGTGAGGCAACCGCGACAGAATCTGGCGCCCCGACCGGGACGAGAACCTGGTGTGCCGGCGCCGCTAGGTGGAGGATTAGCCTAGTGAGCCGCGGCGCCGGTGTACATAGTCCCTATGTTTGCTTTGTCTTTCCACGTCCTTCAGTAACACACTTGAAGTACAAAGGAGACTTTAGAAATGACTCTCCACACATTGTAGTAAGCACGGATCCTTGTCCAGATCCTGGGTTCCCCTGTGAGTAGCCAGATGCCACACTTCTGGGACAGTCGAATGCCCGGTGATCGCAGGCTGCAGAAGTGGGGCTCCCTTTCAGGCTGTGGTTTTGCCTGGAAAGTCAGCACAGCCAGGCCCCGGCTTAGTTCTTTCTCGGGGACCACTGGCTGTGGGCTCTGTGGACTGTGGGGCCTTAGGTTCTCTTGCATTTCCCTAAGGCTCAGCAGGAGGAGGCTTTGGTCCCAGAACCTGCTCCAACACACCAGGCATTCGCCTCGAGCATGGATTCCAGGTAGGTGTCTCTTCCACTCCTCTGTAATTTCTCTATCTTTCTGACAAAAAAGTTTTTATGTGTTACCACCGTAGCAAATACTTCCCAACTCCTTCCCTACATGGGGGAAATAATCCCAGAGCAGGAGCAGGGAGTCCTGCGTCCCACTCACCTTGGGTCTGCAGTACAACTAAGTATGTCGGGACTAAGGGGTGCAGAATCCACGCAGGGCCCGGGGACCCGCATCTACAGCCGGAATCAGGGACCTGACCTTCCACACGCCCTCCGCAACACCGATTCAGGGCGCTCCATTTCCTTTTATGCAAATGACACAGGAGAGCCCCCAGCCCCACCCCACCCCCGCCACCTAACTCACCGGGCCACTTGGTACCAGAGAAGTGAGCAAGTGCTTCGAGGACCGGCAGGCAGAGCTGGGAGCAGCACGGGACTGACGTACACTCAAGGTCACAGCGGAGGTGACCCGGCTCCCTCCTTTGCCCAGGACACCCCAGTCACCCTTCCATTCTCAAAACTGGAAAGGGTGCGGTTAGCCTAGTGGTGAGCCCCAGTCCTCAGGGTCGCGGGTCCATCACTGAGTCTCGCTAAGTCTTGGTTCTCTATGGTAAACATTGGAAGAGATGTCACTTGAGAGCTCTTCATGAGCTGGGAAGAAAATCAGCAAACAGCAGGTGTCGTTATTAAACCCAGGTGCTGTGAAATCAGGAAGCAGTGTTTCATACAAATCCTAAAATCCATTGCTTTACCAAAAGCTGTCCCCTGCCTCTTTGGGCCCTAGGGGGCATTTGCTTTCGTCCCCTCGGCCCCGGCTGCCTTTTGTGAGCTACAGAGTGGCTTGGAGAATGCATTGCTGAGCTGCCTCCCAGAGTTGACATTCTACAATTTCATGAGTCCCAAGAAGGCCTGGCCTGCTGGTGTTAGCTGGTCGTTTTCTTAGCAACAAAGTAAGCGAGACAACCTGAATGTGGAACACCACCCCCACCGCGAGCCTTGAAGGAAGCATTAAGCAGGAGTGGTTCTGTCTAATGTGGGGCCTGGAAGCTGGAATCAGATGTCTGAACTTGAGCCACACCTGCAGGTCCAGTTACGGCTTTGAAGCTGCCAGACCCCGCCGTTCGGGCCATTTGAAAGCACTCAATCGCCTTCTTCCCAAAGCCCTGTGTTAGACGACTCCTGGTTTTCCCAAACAAAATTACTGGTGTTTCATTACAACTCACTTGAGCTCCTTGACTGTGTGCAGAAGGTTCTCTGTTTGGATTTGCTTTGCTTTTGTAGGGTTTCCGTGCAAGCCCGGGGAGGCCTCTGGCAGTTACAGTAATGCTGTATTATGTGCCTGGGGACCGCCTGGGGCCGCTCTCCCTTGCTTCAGATAATGGGATTATTGGAGGGAGTCTGGCTGGCAGATTTACAGATGGAATCTGAGGATGCAGGCTGCTTAGAGTCTTGGCTCCGGGACAGAAATAATGGAGAGAGAGGGGGAGAGGGAGAGGGAGAGAGAGGAGAGAGACTGAGCCTGGCTCTTTGCCCCTGGGTCACACAAACAAGACTCCACCTTTCAGCCAGTCCACTGCAGGCAGCTGCAGGATGAAGCCAGGCTTCCCACCCTCAGGTCGTCACTCCGCCTGGGGTTTGTGTCTCAGGAGGGCCTCTGAGTCCCCCCAGAAGACCCTCACCAGGAGGCTGGCTGGGGAGCCCAGGCTGTGCACTTGTGAGAATCTTCGCAATGAAGCAAAGGGGCTGTGTGATGCAGCAGCCGGCTCCGTTCGATGTAAATTTCCTCTAGCGTCACAAGGAGCGCATCAGACAGTGCAGGGCCACCCGCAGCACGAGGGGCGTGCAGGGGACGCCGCCCCTTCCCGAGCCAGGCACCCGCTGTGCACACGCCGGAGTGGCCGCATCCTGGGGATGCGAGTCTAGCTCAGGGGCTAAGGAGTCGACCGCTCGCCAGCTGTGGGGCCACACGCATCCTCTGAGCCTCAGATTCTCCATCCGTGATAAGAGGCCAGAAATATCTACTTCCTGGGCCTCCTTTGCCAGCGCTGGGCTGGGCCTTGTCATACCTGCTGACACATTCACACTCCATACCTGCTCCAGGGCAGGGATGGGGCACTATCCACTTTTAACAGAAGGGGAACTGAGGCACGTTCTAAGTGTTTGCCTGAGATCACACAATGTTAAGTGGCAGAGCTGGGCTTTATTGCTATTTAAAAAATTTTTTTTTTTATTATTTTAAGAGAGAGAGAGACTTGAGCCTCCCAGGGTGTGCACGGGAGGAAGCTGAATTGGAGGCGGAGCTGTGACTCGAACCCAGGCACTCTGATACAGGATGTGGACATCCGAAGTAGCATCTTAACGCTGTGTCAAATGCCCGCCTGCTTTGCACGGTGTCCACGGAGACCCTAACAGGTGAGCGGCCCCTGTTCATTTCAGTTTCGTGGTGTTTCCTGGGCCCTGACCCAAAGTAGGTCCTCCAAAGGTTGGTTCCTGTCTTCACTGTGAGGTGGACCCACTCACCATCCAGGCATCCGGGAGTGGGACGTGGGGCGGGGGGCTACAGGCACGGGCAGTGCCCACGCTCTGGGTGTCCACGTGCACGCACACATGTACCCACAGAACAGGTGCAGGGGCTGGCAGCGCCATTCCCCTCTGTGAAGTGAAGCCACTCCCTGGACAAGACAGGATCTTTGTGATTTCACACTGTGTCTTCATTTCTGTTTGAAAACAGATTTGCACACCTGGGGAAGAGACTGTGGCACAAATCAACACAGCCTCTTTGGATCAGAGGAGCCCCACGGTGCCCTTGGTGCTCACTGACCCTAACCAGTGGCAGCCGGTTGGCCACCAAAGAGCCATTCCCCAAACATGAGTAAGTCTGAGGACAGCACTGCCAGGGGCCTGTGTGTGCCGCCGTCACCTGCGGGCGCGCTCCAGGAGGCCGAGGCAAGGGGGGGACTTCAGAAGCAACGGAGGGGGGTCGGCGCCATGGCTCACTTGGTTAATCCTCCACCTGCAGCGCCGGCATCCCATAGGGGTGCTGGGTTCTAGTCCCGGTTGCGGCTCTGCTGTGGCCCGGGAGTGCAGTGGAGGATGGCCCAAGTGCTTGGGCCCTGCACCTGCATGGGAGACCAGGAGGAAGTACCTGGCTCCTGGCTTCGGATCGGGGCAGTTCTGGCCGTGGCGGCCATTTGAGGAGTGAACCAGCAGAAGGAAGACCTTTCTCTCTGTCTCTGTTTCTGTCTCTGTCTCTCTCTCTCACTGTCTATAACTCTACTTCTCAAATAAAATAAAATAAAATAAAATAAAATAAAATAAAAGCAGTGGAGGAACAGCCCTCGCCCTGGGCTCCAAGGCAGTGCCAAGGTGGGCGTCAGTCCACGTCGGACAGGCAGGTGATGGGCAGATGGCTCTGCAGAAGCATCTTCCATGTGCAAGGTTGCGTTTCTGGCCGGGGTCTTGCAAGTCCTCGCTATGCGATGTAAGCACAGGACCCCGCTGCCATAGCCTCCTGCTTTATTTAGTGTTTGTTTTTTAGGCTTGATGCACAGACCTATTTTGATTCTGACAATCTGCAAACCAGGAAGCTCCAAGTCTGGACGTCAGGGCTGCTGTCTCTGGCCGTGTGAGTCAAGGCCAAAGGGTGACCCCACACAAAGCTCCCTGAAGGCACCGAGTGTTCGGTCTGCATGTGAGCGTCTGCTGGCCTCTGGGAGATGGACGGGGGGCTGGGGGGGGAGAGCGCCTGCTGTCCCTTGTGCCTTGGTCTTGAGGTGGATGTGAGCCCAGAGCGCTGATCCTGACGCCCAGGTCTGGTGCTGATGGCTGTGCGGCCACTCAGGGGTGCTGGGACTTCTCCAAACCCCGCACAAGGCGTGACAACTGTGTCCCCAGCTGATGTCCATTGGGTGTCTGTGGAAGTAAGATAATGCAGGTTTACTATTTTGGTAGACAGCCGGGGGTGTTTAAATCACCGGCTCAGCTCCACCTGTGACATCATGCTGGCGAATGGCCTTGGCCACCACGAGTGAACGCCAGCCCTACCACCAAGCCTGGCCACACTGGCCCGGGGCCCGTGGGCGTGGCAGATCCGGCTTCGGTCAGCCCTGCCCACCTCCCCGCCTCCTCAGCCTGAGGCGGCTGTGCCACAGCAATTAGAGGGTGGGATTAGGGGAGACTCGGATGGCTGGCTTCCTTTGACAGGGCCGTTACAGGAGGGTGCAAGGTGGCGGCTGGGGCTCTGGGATTCCAGCGTCCGCCAAAGTCTTCATTTCTGTACTAAATATGCTGCACAAGAACAAGAGAGCAAGGGGTCTCCCGCTCAGCCGCGCTGACGTTCGGGGCCAGCCCCTCCTTGGCATGATGCCCCCATGGCTGTCCTCTGAGTGGGGCCCTCTTTGGGGCCTTGCTTGTCTTACCCTGGTCCTGGCTCAGCTCCGACAGGACCCAATGCCCCGGGAAGGTAGAATTATGCCCCCATTAAACCACTGAGCTAGGCTTTTCTCACCGTGCTGTGGGTCTCCCGAGGGCCTACAGAGCTCTGTGACAGCTCGGTGCTGCTGGGAGTCTCTGCTGTGTGACTTCACGCGTGGGGCCGGGGCTGACGGGTGTTGTGATCCAGGCTCCTTTGATCATCACAAAATGCAAACTGGGATGCCAACAGCTGCTGTCCCCGAGCGACCACATGCACGCGGGAATTCTCTCGTTACGGTAGCCGCCTCCCTCCATCTTGGGCTGCCCATTGCAGGGCAAGGGGAGAGGCCGAGTGGAGTCACGGGGGATGATTTCCTACATAAGCTCTGATCAGGTTGTGGGATATCCTGGCTAGCAAATGCGTGTAATGAAACTTCCCCCAAAGTGTCGAAACCGAACCAAAGCCACTGACACACACACTCACACACACACGTGCACATACACGCACGCGCACACACACGCACTCACACACATGTGCACATACATGCACACATGCATGCACACACATGTACGCGCACACACGCGCACATACACATATGCACACACGTGTATGTGCACACACAAGCATGCATGCATACACACATGCACACACGCGTGCACACGTGCACACACGCGCGCACACACGTGCACACAGGGCAGGCCACAGGACAATGCTGCCGTCCTGGATGCAACTCGCGAAGGAGCCACTTCTACTCCGGAGGCAGCAAGAGCTCTGGATCCCCTCAGCCCTGCCCAGCCCCTGCACCTGCGCTGTGAACCCGGTGTGGTCACCAGGGGGCAGGACAGCAGCCTGGGTTCTGGGATTTGCCCAGAGGAGACACCTGGGAAATCGGATTGGAAGGAAAGAGTACATTTGCTTATCACGTTGACTTAGGGGTTAGGTTTCAGGTTAATAAAATACATCAGCGAGATATGTTTCATCCACGTTCCCACCAAGGTGGAGAAAATCACCTGTAACTAATGCCACCTGCCTCGTCTCCGAGGGTGACTCTGAGGTTGCCGGGGGAAGGGGAGACGGGGCTGAGGTGTCCCACAGAGGGAGGCAGCCCCGGCTTCCCTGCACGCGTCTCTCAGGCTGTTCCCTGTGCCAGGACCGCCGTGAGCTCGAGCCCCTCCCACCCCGCCTGGTCTGACCTCCGTGTAACGCACAAAAGGGGCCTGTGTTTACAGCCGGGCTCTGTCACTGGGTCACCATGGGCGACCCTGCCCATCACTGACCCCGCCCCCTGCCTCCTGGCTCCTCATTCATAAAACCCCACCCACAGGGTGTGGTGTGGACTGAATGGGGAGGACCGGGCACGCTGTTGCCGTGGTGCCCACCATATCTGTGGTCGTTGGCATCAGGAGCAGTGGGTGCTCTGTCTGGGTGCCCCTCTCAGCCCAGTGGCTGGCAGCGAGGCAGGTGTCCTGGGGAGCCTTCCACACAGGGCAGTTACTAACGCACAGGTTGTCTCTGCAGGAGCGCCGGGCTGTCCTTCTCAGCTGTGGGTCCCCCTCCAGTTCAGTTCAAAAAATGCCCACCTGGGGTTGGGGGCAGGGCACCCTCTTAACCTTTGAGAGTGCGACTTTGATTCCCACAGCTGCCCGCCGCCCCGGTGAGCTCAGGCAAGGCCCCTGCGAGCACCCTGACCTCGCCGATGCCCGACAGCGACCGCGACACGCGGAAGTGGGGCTTCGGCTCCAGGCAAGGCCGGCTCAGCTCGGCGCGGCCGGCTCTCTGTCACAGCTCCGGAGCCCCGGCTCTCCCCTCGCTACTTCTGATCACCACGGAGGACTGTCCAGGAGACTTCGACAGCTTCAGCCGGGAAGGAACGCAGTCACGTGGGCCGCCACCCTCCCAGCCGATCTCCACCAGGTGCAAGGGCTGCAGGCCCGGCCAGGGGCCATCCGGCCGGCGGGCTTTGTTTAGGGAAAGGACTCATGACCCTATTTTCGGCTTTGTGGGCTGTAAGGTCCCAGTCCCAGCGACTCCACTCTGGGACGCAGCCAAGGACAGCATGTAAACAAGTGGTCAGGGCTATGTTCCAATGAAGCGTCACTTACAAGAACTCGGTCACTTGCTGACCTTGGTTTAGAACTGTCCAGGGCATCGCTTAGAGAGCCAGAATTGTGGGCCAGTGCTGTGGGTGTAGTGGGTTACAGCCCCGGCCTGCGAGGCTGGCATCCACTATGGTCAAGTCCCGGCTGCTCCACTTCCCATCCAGCTCCCTGCTAATGCCCCTGGGAAAGCAGCAGAAGATGGCCCACATACATGGGCTCCCTCACCCATGTGGGAGACCTGGAAGAAGCTCTTGGCTCCTGGCTTCAGCCTGGCCCAGCCCTGGCTGTCGCAGACATTTGAGGAGTGAACCCACGAATGGAGGGTCTCTCTCTCTTGTCACTTCCTCTCTCTGTGTAACTCTGACTTTCAAATATATAAAATAAATATTAAAAAATAAAGAAAAAATTGTGTTGTTAGTAAAAAAAAATAAAAATAAGAAAACACCATTCCCGGGGAAGGCTTTGGTTTTCCAGGTGAACAGGCCGCTGGCCGGGGCTGGCCGGCCGAGAGGTGTTTAAGCATCGCTGCAAGAGACCACGACGGACTCGCCGGCCGTATCCACAAATTCCCACGCTGCTTCAGGTATTCCAAGGACACTTTTTTAGAAGTAAATTATCTCATTTTTTGGATTTCTTTGTTTATTTTTCATCTTATTTGAAAGACAGCGAGACAAAGAGTCAGAGCTTTTGGCTCACTTCCCAAGTGCCCTCAACATCCAGGACTTGGCCAAGCTGAAGGCAGGAGCCTGGGGTTCTGCGTGGGTCTCCCACGTGGGCGGCAGAGACTCAGGCACTTGGGCCATCACCTGCTGTCTCCCGGAGCGCACGTTAGCAGGAAGGTGGGAGGAAGCAGAGTGAGACTCCGTTCCAGGACTCCGGTGTGGGCTGCGAGTGTCCCGAGCCACGTCGTAAATGCTGCTCCAGATGCGCCCGTTTTGGGTTTCTAAGTGTGTCGTTTACAACGGCAAAGCATGCCGCTTAAAGCAGGAGAGAGCTGAGCGGGCAGGTCCCATCAATCTTCCACGTGGGGCTTTTAAATGGCTCCAAGAGTGTGAATAATGTCTTTGCCTGAAACTCAGCAGGTTTTCCCAGGTTGCGGATTCGTCACGGCGTCTGCAGTTCCGTGATTCCGGCTTGGCGCCCGTGTCCTGGCAAGGTGTTCTCCTGCCTTTGGGTGCTCTTTTGCTCAGACAACCTCTCTTCCGTTGAGAAGCAAGGCTGCTTTGGTCTCGCCTGCAGAACTCCTGGGCTGCTGCAGGTGCGATCCGAGAGGAGCCCCTGGCTTCGCAGAGCTCCACCTGCTTACTGGCTGTGAGTGACGGGACCGGTCCTTCACTGGGCCGTGCACTGGGGCTCTGGGCAAAGCCTTCCTGAGCTCGGTCAGGCCTTCGGCACGAGCCGCTCGTGGCCACAGGAATCCGTTCTCTCCCAGGTTCAAGGCTGCACGACTGAGTTCCAGGTGGCAGCGCAGCCACACTCCCTCCAGGGGCTCCGGGACGACTCCTTGCTCGCCTCTTCCTGCGTCGGGTGGCCCCAGGCTCCCTTGGGTACGTGCTGTGGGCCTTCCGTCTCTGCCTCCACACGGCCGCCTGCCCGCCGTGCGTCTGTGTCTTCAGCTCCCTGTCTCTCCTTGGCCCTGGGGTCCATCTGGGCTCCGGCATGGTCTCACGTTTATAAAGGTTCCCCCCCGCCAGGAAAGGTCACATTCTCTGTGTACGGGCGTGTATTTCTGGGGAGCACCGGTCAAGCCACCCCTACTGCCTGCACGTACAGCTACTGTTAGACACGCGCCACTCAAAGCCTCCCAGGGAGTTTGTGAGGGCGCCTTCCCACGCCCCTCAGCACAGACGTGACCTCGTCTGTGTCTGCTCCGTGGATCGCAGGTGCCAAAGCCAGTTC